CCATGTCAGGTCCTCAGTGATGTGGACACCGAAGAACCTGAAGCTACTGATTCTCTCTACCGTAGTCCCATTGATGGCGATGGGGGCGTGTCCCTCTCTCTGCTGCTTCCTGTAATCCACAATCAGCTCCTTTGTTTTGCTGACGTTGAGATGGAGGTTGTTATCCTGGCACCAAGATGTCAGGTTTTCGATCTCCTCTCTGTACGCCGTCTCGTCGCCGTCTGTGATCTGGCCGATGACGGTCGTGTCGTCAGCAAACTTCACGATGGTGTTGGAGCGTGTGTATGGCCACGCAGTCATGAGTGAAAAGGGAGTAGAGGAGAGGGCTGAGCACGCAGCCCTGAGGGGCTCCGGTGTTGAGGATCAGGGTGGAGGATGTGATGTTTCCCACCCGCACTGCCTGGGGTCTGCCCGTCCAACACAGTCTCACTCCCTGATAGTCCAATAGCGACGCTTGGTCAGGGTCCTTTGGCGTGCAGTTGTGACGCGCCGAGTCTCCTTTAGCTTCATAAACGGACGCAAAGAGCTTTCAACTGATTGCAATGTATTCCCATCGGCGGCGGTATTTGACGCTCATGGAAGCACCGCATCGGTCCATGTCGGCGGCAGTTAAAGGCAATGTAAGCGTCCATTCCCATTGGATAACGGAGAATTTTACACCCGAACGTAAGTATTCTCCTTACTGTCGATTGATTTTACAGTGATATCTGCACTACTCATCAACTCAAAAACACCAGATTATACCTGTTAATTACACAACATTGATTGGTTTAAATTGTGTACAATGCTTTTGTATTTTTCCCCTTCGATTCGGAGAAACAAATATTTTTTATCTGAGCTTGATGACCAGCTTGGAGGGCTCAATGGTATTGAAGGCTGAACTGTAATCAATGAACAGCATTCTCACATACGTGTTCCTCTGGTCCAGGTGTGAGAGGGCAGTGTGGATGGTGAGGGCTATGGCGTCGTCTGTGGACCGGTTTGCTCTGTAGGCAAACTGCAGGGGGTTCAGAGAGTCAGGAGGTGATGAATGATTTGACTAACCGCTCAAAGCACTTCATTATGATGGAGGTGAGTGCTACTGGAAGGTAGTCATTGAGGCTGGTGATTTTTGTCTTTTTGGGGACAGGAACGATGGTGGAGTGTTTAAAACATGTGGGGACAACAGACTGCAGCAGGGACCTGTTGAAGATGAACTGCAAACACCCTGAGAACACGGCCAGGGATGCCATCAGGTCCAGGAGCCTTGTGTGGGTTAACCCTTTTAAAGGATTTACACACATCTGCACTGTCTAAAACAAAAGGGCAGGGCTCCTGATCCTTCTCTGCACCCCCAGCCTGGCTGCTCTCAAATTGTGCGTCATCGATGCATTTCCCAATGTAGCAGATGACCGTATCCGTGTGTGTGTTGATGTTATTGTCCTCAATCACACTCCAATCCGTAGATGCAAAGCAATCCTGCAAACATTAATGGCATTTTCTGTCAGGACCTTGACACAAACTGATAGACCCAAATATACGACCCAGAGACAAAGTCTTACATGTAAAACAAGTATATTTAATTTCAAACATCAGGAAATTCCTTTTAACAGAGTAGGTACTGGAATTAACAAAAAGCGCTCACAAGGAGGAAAACATTTGCATAACAAAAATAAAACTTAAGAAAGAAACTTAAGCCTACAAAATTAACAAAACAACAAAACCTGACATGAGTGAAAGCGATATTGTCTTAGCTGAGGCTTGGCACGACCATTCGGGGAAACAAACAAGACGAACTGACACAGGACAGGGGAGAGACAGGACTATTTAAACATGAGGTGAGTGGGAACAGGTGGAAACAATCAGGGGCGGGGCAGACACTGATGATGGCGGGAAAAACACACAAGAGGAGGAAGAAACAGGGCCTGAAATGAAAGACAAGAGTTAAGTACAAAATAAAACAGGAAATTACAGACAAAATACATAAACATAACTAACACATTTCACGAGACACGACAATTTTCATTTCATTGTAAAATGGACTACACCAAAGATAATAGGAAATAAGAACAGATGTTATATTAATTCATTTTGCAATTATAATGGCTAATTATTATTGTCACATATGCATACATTAACCGTAACTGTGTATATACAGTATATTGTATTTGGAATTTAGAATGAATTGCTTCACTGATATTTTTTTGGATAATCTTTTGATCTATGGTCTCTTTTGGTATCCAGAAAGACGAAGGAGGGAAAGCTCCAATCATGCGAACATGGTACATATTACATAGTTCATTAAAGGTCCCATGTCATGCTTTTCCGGTTATTACCCGTCCCCTTGTGTGTTATGAAGGTTTTTATGCATGTAAACGGTCTGCAGAGTCAAAAACCCTCAAAATACACCCTGTAGCGAGTAAAACTCTAACACAGAAAATACCTCCCCAAAATGCCTCGTTGGAGATTTCATGTTTACTTCCTGGGTACTGTGATGTGTGAACACCCAGAGGCCACACCCTCTGCCAGCCTTTCACAAAACAAAGCTTCCCAAACCTTTCAGCGATTCATGCCGGATATGTACAGCGTAGGGAACTGAAGAACGATGCTGTTCCTACTTTGTTTGGACCAGCGGGAGATTTGGGTACACAACCTGTAAGTATTCATTGTTGTTTGTGTATTTATGATGTTTAAAACAAACAAGGTATCTACCACGACTGTTTAACCTGTTTCACGCCTTCCCCCCGGTACCGGGCGGATAAACGCGTCATTTGCAGGAAACAACGTCTAAGGAATCTTAATATTGAATAAAACTATGAATGTGTTATATCCATGTAACGGGAAGAAACTCAGCTAACTGATCTTTTTAATTTTTTTTTTCAAAAAAAAACCCACAATGCTAGCACTCAGCCTCTGAATTAGCCTCGATCGAAAAAACGGGACCTACTAAGGCACTTAAACTCACTCATAACTCCCTTATTACTTATCCTAGATGCACAACCAAACACTATTTTTTGGTGTGCTGGAGACACTGAATCTAACGGTGCCCACCTCAACACTCAGTGATAAACATTCGCGACGCTATCAACGAAAGCGTACATCATCACATGTGGAGCCAAGAAGCTAAACATGTAAATATGGCTCACCTTGGTCAAAAGTGGTCTTCAATGGCATTAAAACGATAAAAAAACGATGCTGCAGTTAATCCATAGGTTCATCCTATGTGTCTGTGCCTTCTTTGAAATTATTTCTGATAATCCATAAGCAATACAACTGCGTTTTAGTTTCCAAACTCCAGAAGGAGACATTCCTCCAGTTTAGTTTCGCTTTCCACACGCGAAGCGGCAACATTTTTCTTTATAATGTATGTGTATGTGAGTCTCCTCCTTCGATTCTATTGGCTCTAACGGTCACAAGGGTATGTCAACCAACCAGATCGAGCAAGGGGGGCCAGAGATAGGTCAAATCCACCCAAATGACCCCAGATGGCCCAGTTTTTGGCTAAATCTCTCTAAAAAGGTCAAATTTCACTTGTTTTGCATCAATCTTGATACAGGGTACTTATTATATGTTGTACTTTGGATTCCTAAAGCTTTTAGTCTACTAACCCATCATCCAAGGGTAGTTTTCACTATCTGTAAAAAATAATTTTTGGACGGACACTATAATTTACAGTTTTTTACTATGTAAAATCTGAATTTTCTTTAAAATAAAAAACATTTATATTGATTCTGACACTTCTACATCCAACTCACAGGTTTATCATTACTTTGAGAAAAGATTATTAATTTAACCCTTTTAGAAGGGAAGATATGGTCATTTGTTCTGGGAATGTCATTTTCGAGCCTGAGACCTGAAAAACAGGCTCAGAGTGGAACAGGTTAAATGGGTAAACGTTTTTCGGGCTGCTAAGTTGGGATCGCGGAGTAATGCTCTCCGCAGACCCATGCTCACAGCGTTATAAAAAAATGTCTTACTCAATATCAAGCCACACTTATTGTTTTTACTTCGGCTGTGAGTGTTTGTGTGTGCTCAGGATGAGTTTCGCTTGTTCTAGCTGTATCGCCAAGCCTGTCTGCTCCTCCAGCAGTGTCTGTGTGTGTGCGAGCAGTGCTAACTGGGCTAACTAAGTTGCTAGCGTTTCCATATATCAACTCCAATGTTAGCAGATGGCCTTACATGTATCTCATAGCTGGAGAATGTCTGCAATCACACACAAAATACTCATAGACAGTATACTCCGGGTGATTTACCGTACGGTCAGTACATTATAGTTGGCGTTCCTGGCGTGTATGCTACCGAGCTACCGTTCATAGCGTGTATGCTACATAGCCAAACAAGAAGGCTACCTAGAGCTAGACATGCTAGGGAAAAACATTGTTTTCATGCCAGCTACAATGAATGTCCGAACGTAGCAGACTACCCGTATAAGATTGCAATTGTAAACATGTTCTTGCTAGCCTAGACTAGCTGTTGTTCATAGTAGATTGGCATATTACGCTGAACAACTAGCAAACGTAGGTTAGCATATTAGCTGGCAAGCTAACTGTGTTGATTAGATAGATAGATTAGATAGATACACACTCCTACCACAACTACTACTAACAAATCTAAAACAACTAAGTTTCTCTAATATTTTGTGATTTGCATTTGATTTCGTCCAGCCAGATCAGGAAACTCCTGGCATATCTGGCGGACAATACACACACGGGATGACCACTCTGATGCCTCGTCCTAAAAAGCCCCGGCAGGATAGGCAAGATGCCGAAAACGCCTATAAGGGGAGGAATGGATGATATACAGTGTATATATGTATACAGTGTATATATGTATACACATGTTCATTTTGTACATTTCTAAAAATAAAGTTTGATGGAAATACTTAGTAGCCTTTCTTCCCTGAATTATTTGCTCCTATAACATATCATTCATATATAGCAAACCATGATTTGATTTTTCATCAAACAGTAGTAGTTTATTACAGGTAAAAATAACTTACTCTTCTATAACAACAGTTGTAGGTACAGTTCGGTTAGTTAGCTTATAAAATATACGGCTGTACCGACGCCTGATATTCCGCTCAGAGCGAGCCGAAAAAAGCAGTGTTAGACATGGGCGGAGCCTCTCTGGTGGTTGACTAATCAGAACAGAGTGGCCGAGCTGACCAATCGGAGCACACTGGGCTCACAGGGAGGGGGGGGCAAGAGCTCCAACAAGCCCTTTAGGACAGAGAGTGAATACCGGTGAATACACATACTTTACAGAGATGCTGTATGCGAAACCAATGTGAGTTTGGAAAATTGCACAGTATAAATCTATTACCTCAACAATGGAATTATGATCAGTGGAAATGGCCATGACATGGGACCTTTAAGGTAAAATTTGCAAATGATACTTCATCCGTCACTGTCAGACCAGAGCATGTAACAAATACAAAATAAAGCAACATGCTTTCTTGTAAATGTCAAAATATGTATAGAAAATAATAAAAAGTACAAGGTTAGATTTCCACGAGAATTTGGTGGTGGTGACAATCCCTCTCATTACTCCTTGGTTTGTCTCAATGGTCAGCTTGTTTAAAGTGGACCTATCATGCTATATTTAAATGATATATTGTAGGGCCATACCTATATAAGGTATATTTATACGTTTCTGTTTTCAAAATACCAAACAGATCATGCATTTTAACCATGCCTCATTTCGCTCTATGTGCTGTTTGCTGTCTACTGGGCTGATTATATGAGCTGCAGCTGACCACGCCCCCCTGCAGGAGAGGGTAGTCGTGCTATGATCAAGTCAAGAGGGGGAGAAAAAAAGATCTCCGTCCTCCGTGTTTTATTATATTGTTATAGGCCTATAGAGTCGTTATTCATTTGTTTTAAAGCTCAATAAATAACAAAGAAGACCTTTGACCGGCACTTTTCTAATTTTGTCCGGAAGATTTAAACTTTAAAGCTCCCATGTCATGCTTTTCCGGTTATTACCCGTCCCCTTGTGTGTTATGAAGGTTTTTATGCATGTAAACGGTGTGCAGAGTCAAAACCCTCAAAGTACACCCTGTAGCGAGTAAAACTCTAACACATTAAATACCTCCCCAAAACGCCTCGTTGGAGATACGTCACTGCCCATTTGATTCTTCCGGGTACCGCCTGATGTCATGCGGTACCCGGAACGAAATGGACCAATCCCGAAGAGCTATGGCCACACCAGCAGCGGCGTGTTCCTCCTCCAGAGGTTCGAAGAACCGGCATTTCACAGACGAAAGCTTCCAAAACATTGCCCAGTTTGAGGCCGGATATGCACAGCTTGTTTGGACCGTTTGGAGCAGGGGAAGATCTGGGTATACAACCTGTAAGTTTGCATTGTTATTTGTGTATTTATCAAACAAGACTGTTTAAATGTGTAAACTGTGTTGGACTGCTAAGCCATTGACACAGTGCTAACTGTGCTAACTAAGTTGCTAGAGTTTCCATATATCAACTCTAATATCAGCAGATGGCCTTGCATACATGTATCTCATAGCAGGAGAATGTCTGCATTCACACACACGGAATACTCATACAGTATACTGTACTGTGATTTACCGTACATTGTGACCGTACATATACTGCATGTAGCTAACGAGGCTAGCTGTATGCTAGCGCAAAACAATGTATTCATGCAAGTTACATTGTATGGTAGCAGAATACCCGTATACGATTGCAATTATAAACACGTTATTGCTAGCCTAATATGAACCACTAGCTTTTGTTCATAGTAGTTTTATTACACTGCATTATAGTTGCCTTTCCTCCAAGCTAACGTTCATATCGTGTTAGCTACCAAGGTAAACAAAGCTAGGTTAGCATATTAGCAGGCAAGCTGTTCATTACACAACTACTACTAACGAATCTAAAACAACTAAGTTTCTCTAATATTTTGTGATTTGCATTTGATTTCGTCCAGCCAGATCCTGGCGGACAATCCATGACGTGCTAAAAGGCACTTCTACTACTACTGAGGCGTCGTGCTAAAAGGCACCGCACCGACTGTGCGCAGGCAAGATGCGAGGAGGAGGCATGGATGATATACCGTGTATATATGTATATTTATGTTCATTTTGTACATTTCTAAAAATAAAGTTTAATGGAAATACTTAGTAGGCCTATCCTTTCTTCCCTGAATTCATATATAGCAAACCATGATTTGATTTCTCATCAAACAGTAGTAGTTTATAACGGGTAAAAATAACTTACTCTTTGTTATGAGCGGCTCGTAGGCCACAACGGAAAGACAAGGAGACATACACGAGTTTACAAAACCACGGCACATTTATTGTGGTAAATGCAGAGATAGGTGGTTGAGAGGATCGCAGAGTTAGTCTTCCTGCAGCCGCTTTGGAGAGAGACTGGGGCCGTAGTGTCCGGAGGTGTCCGTGATCGTGCTGATTAGCCTCTTCAGCTCCACCCCATCGTAAGACAAAGGCCCTGGGGCCGTCACACTCTTCTATAACAACAGTTAAAAATATATATGTATATAAAATATACGGCTGTGCCGACGCCATGATAAGACTGATGTTACGCTGAGAGCAGCCGGGAAAAGCACTGTTAGACATGGGCGCAGCCTCTCTGGTGGTTGACTAATCAGAACGAGTGGCCGAGCTGACCAATCGGAGCACACTAGGCTCACAGGGAGGGGGGGGCAAGAGCTCCAACGAGTCGTTTAGTGGAGAAAGTGAATACTGCTGAATACACATGCTTGACAGAGATGCTGTATGCGAAACCAATGTGAGTTTGGAAAATTGCACAGTATAAATCTATTTTAGTATACCTCAACAATGTAATTATGATCAGTGGAAATGGCCATGACATGGGCCCTTTAACGGACATCTTGACCGGCGAAAGAAACTGAAACTGAAACTCTGCCGCACGGTCCCCTCGTTCCTTGGAAGAGGCGGAGAGGTGGGTGTTTGTCATCTGCTGGTGGACTAACCGGAGAGAATTACAGTGCTTGCCTCGACGGGGAGGGATTGCATTGAATTAAAGCAGCGGGAGCAAACGCTTGCCTCGGGGAGGGAGAAAAAAAGCCACAGCGGAGAATAAACAGAAGGGTAACCATGGTAACTATGGGCGGGAAGTCTTCTTCGCTGCTTTTGTGGCAGACTACAGCGCCACTTACAGGCCTGGCATATGTACTACAGCGTCTCCAGCGCTTTCGAGCGGCAATGGCCGGCCGTGGCCCAACCCCACATTCCCCTGATAGGTGGAGAGTTGGCCCAATAGCCGTAGCGCCACTTCTGTGACGTCATTGAAGTGTTCAAATCTGGATCAGTTTTTATCAGATCCGTTGCAGCCCCTTTTTTAGAGATTTGGGTATGGAGGAAAATAGAGAGGGTTGTGTTTTCTGACACTTGGTGAGTTCCCTGGAACACTGGGGACACATATTCATGTATAAAAGACGTACAAAAGTGCATTTTGCATGATAGGTCCCCTTTAAATGTGTATCTGAAAATGTGTTATTTTAGATAAAGGAAGTGACATTTAGGCCCCATTTACACGGAGACTGAAACGAAAATCAACCGAATTTGATATAAAAAAAGTCTTCCGTTCGCTTGACCCCCCAGAGTGTTACGTCCGCAGATCTACCCACCTTTGGACCCGTTATCGTTTGAGGGTCCGTTTCCGCGGTTCCGTTACGGCCTCGTGTGAACGAACCGTCCATACGATAGAAAAAAGTAGCAGATACAACCCAAACCGTCTCCATGTAAACGGGGCCTTAGATTAGAGGGTTGATAAACTCCATTCACAGATTGCCTCTCTGCAGGTTACCTTGATGAGGCCACAGTGTCGCGACACACAGCGAGGGTAATGTCCCCGGCCTTGCTTGTACACTCCACGGTCCGATGAACAAGTAGACCACCGCGGCACACCTCTTAAAAGTCAGCAGGCATCCAAGTGTGTAATGATGCCAGGGGTGTGAGGCACTTTACAACCAACCCGTACCTTCACCCACAACTGAGATTAATTGCACTTGATTGACTATATCAGATGCACCTCTCTTTCCTGCTCTCCCATTTGGAACACGCAATAATTTATTGGAAGACTGCCGCTTACTCAATAAATATCGAGCCCTTATCAGAGAAAGGTCTAATTAAGCTCCATTTCCGTGTGTTTATTTCACATAAGTGGAGTGCAAAAAAAATGGAGTGCAAAATAAATCTATTTATTTGTTTACATGCAGTGTGCTGTCTGTGGCGTCAATAAGAAGGTTGATGGAAAAAGCAACACATCGCTAATATTGGCGTTAAACATCTAGTCACAACAGAGAGGGGAGCAGTTTTGAGGATGAACTATGTTAGCATGCACATCATGTCCATATTATTGCAGCTAATTTGAAGTATGAAAGTGAACAAAGACCAAGGGACTCATTTGAGATTTGCTCTAGGGTAACAGGTTCTGTTCAAAACATTACAATGTCCTGCACTTTCTGCAGAGCAGTTAGTATGAAAGCTATGATTGTAGCAATGTCACCTTTCACATCTACTTTAGACAAATAATCTCCGACCGTAAGGGCCCTATTATGCTTTTTTTTCTTTTTTCTCTGTGTGTTAAATAGGTTTGTGTGCATGGAAATGGTCTGCAGAGGGCCCACATTGTAGTCCTTTGTTTACTTCTGCAACATAGTGAAATCACTGCTTAACAGTCACGCTTCTATTGGCTAACGCTCCAACACATTATACATGATAGGGCGGGACATATCTAAGCGTTTGACCAATCATAACAAACACAGCTGACCAATCAGAGCAGACTGGGCTCTCGTCTGGACAGAGGGTGAAGAGAGGTGCTGCAGCACAGGCAGTATATTAGAGGATAAAGCAATTTTTTTAGCATTAAAGCATGTAAAAATGTCAAGGTAGAAGCACAAAATACAATAATACAACCTGAAAATTAGGGTCCCTTTAAGTCAAGTCAAAAAAGATCAGTTCGTAACTCAATTTAAACGCAAACAAAACCAACATTGATTGGCTGTAACTGCAGTTCAAGCCATGTCTCTGACATCTAGTGACATTTAAGATGTAAGAACATAATTTTAGCCTATTTAGGTTTGATATCCTTTGAATCAGGGAGCGGGTGGTTTAACAAAACAAAAAAACGTTTTGTAGCTTTTTTAAGAAGCCCACATCAAAAGCACACGTGTCACACCTGTGAACTGAATCAAATTTGGAAAATCAATTATGAATAGCTGGTAGGGGCTGGCATCAATCATTGCCGACTGCTTTCTCCTCAGAGAAAACCACATTGGACAGTGGTACCACCTTTTGTTCAACAGGGTCCAGGTCTTTACTTGTTTACCAACTGACATTTTGTGTTGTGTGAAATGTAATGCGCAAAGCCTTGAGAAAGTATCAGCTCTTGTTGCATCCTCTGCTATTCTGATGAGATTACTTACATTCTATACGAGAAATCCTTGCATCTAACCAAACCCGTAGATGTTCTGACAGTAAAACATCTCCTTCTCTTTGCAAGGATGCGTTTGCCTACAGTTGTTGCATTGCATTTTGTCCCCTTCAAACATCTATCGCCCTTGGGATGTCGGCACAGTCGTAAGACTTAAGTTGTTTATTATGTCTTCTGAAAGATATCCACAGAACATAAAAGCATGATGCATGGATATGAATCTCACCTGAATTGAGGTAAATCACAGACGTACTGTCGGTATGTTTATGTGTGGGGTGGGGGGGTGTGGGGTCAAGGATCTCAAATGCATCAAGACAGATCTGTCAGTTCATGTTTTTCACCAACACCCACGTAAATGTCATGGTGCACCCCTCCCCCGATAGCACTTATTCCTTTTTCCTTGCCATTCTTCCCTCCTCCTCTCTTCTCCCAGGGCTGACTGACAGGCTGCTGTGGTCTCTCACCTCCCTCCAGGTGACTCGTCCTGGCGGTAATCGCACCATGGGCCTGTGATTTCATAAGGACACCTCACAGTGACAATTTGGTGGGAAGAAAAAAACCTGCCCTTTGGATGTAATGATGGGAAAGGGAAAGGAAAAGGAAAAATAAGAGATAGAGGAAAAAACTCATGTAAACTGCGATCAAGCTGTCAGATAAACCCTAAGTCTTGTGAGTGATAGGCCTCCGGAGCGAGCTAATGAAGTCCCACAGTTTGCCTTTGAGCCCAACTCTGTTGTTGTTGAGAAAGAGTGAATCAGTGACTCTGTACAAGCTCCAGATAAGAACATTTTGATTTGCTAACAGGCTGACAGACAAACAAAACATGCAATTATACTTTAGTTATTCGTATTTAAGGAAATTAACTACAATATAAATTATATTGTGCTCCTGCTGGGATTATATTTCTGCCTCTTATATTATTGCGTCTGTTTTGACAATATGAGAAACTGAAATGATTTTAATTTTAAAGAATTGTAATTATATAGCAATCATACATGAACATATGCACAGCAGCATATCTGAAATTAAAACAATTAAATAGTAATCATTAAAAATGTTCAATAGACAGATATTTAAATTGAACTAAATCTGGATTGTAATGCAAAATAAATTGTATTTCATCAATCAGCTCATCATATTGCAATTCATAATAATGGGACTTCCATAACATTGTTTTATCTTCCATTGTATGTAACATGCAATTCTAAGCAATAACATCAGATCATCTTTCAGTTTCTTTTCATAAAGCCATGCCATTTTTTAGAAAGTTTCACCACAGGACCTTATATCAGTTGGAGCCATTGTTGAAATCTATTTATAGTCATCTTGTATGTGCTTGCTGCACTGTCAGTCCACTCCCAGGAGGAATTGCATGGGAGGTTTCTCCTGTCCTTGCACAGGACAGATCTAGTCAGAGAGATGCGTTTACTCCCAGCAATATCTCCCGTTTATATCTGAGAACTGAAGATAAAGTGCATTATGCAAAATATACTCAGTTTACTACCTAAGGAAGAGTTTCAGTGTTTTTCCACCCAAACATTTCTCACATTTTGTTAAATATGGCATCAAGGTTGGCGCTCCTACACTGTTAACTATGACGCCCTACCATAACTGTAACAAAAGTTACAATTAACTTTCATGAATCGGATTTCTATGAAAATGCTATGTCTCTAGATAAAAACCAGGACATTGGTAGCGATTCTGAGGTAGCCATGCACAAAATATTTACCGTCTATTTTACTGTTAATGGGATCATAATTTACGAAATCAAAATCATTATAAAAAACACTTATAATTGAGACCAAAGACTCATGTTTACAACATTAACTGAGATAACAAATCATATGAAAAGTTCTGTCAATTTCTTATAGACTTTTATTAAATCAGACTTAGTTTTGCACCCAGAGGATTCTCCCCGATGGCCAGTTAAGACAATTCAAGTTTTAGTCACTTTGGCATTGGCTGCCGTTTTCAGACCTGGAGGTTCTTGTCTTTCCAAAATAAATGTTGTGGTCACAGCGAAAAATCTTGGTTAGGTTTAGGCAACAAAACGAATTAGTTAAGTAAAAGAAAATATTGTGATTTGGGCTTGAGTTTGTGACAACAGTAACGTACTTAACTTAAACGTAGTCAAAGCTGACTTTTGGTTTCATATAACACTGGTTTCCTGGCTAAGATTCCGGAATTTGAAGACCCAACTTGACCTTTTCCCTACATGAACCCATACTATGTCATATGACTTTGATTTAATTCCACCATTATTACAGCTACATAGAGAGTCGTGGCTTGAAGCTTGGGGCTACTATCCAAACTGTCTTATTTGACGGGAGAACAGGATTCCCCACCAACATCTTCCCCCAATTCCCCTCCTTGATAAATCATTCTGGCTTACACACAAATATGGCATGATGAATCGCATGTTGATGTTAGTGGCGGCGGGAAGGGACTGTTGGGAGATGGTGGCATCGGGGGCTAAGGGTATGAATGTGCATGACTGTTATTTCTCTCGTCTATATGTCTCTTTCCTTTTTAAATCTTCAAAGTGCATATTCTAGGAAGCTGCACAATTGCTGGCAGGTGGAAATGTTTCTTTTTATTGGTA